ATAATATAATAACAACAATAATAACGTTCCCTAATCATGTCTCTTCAAACATTTACATAAATAGTAAGCGTGTTGATTTTAGAAGTTGTTGTAATTAAAGGCCATTCTTCGTTTGCATGGAGACACTGTGCGGCTCGGTATTCTGCTTCCTGCAAAAGAAAAGATGAAAAAATACATTTTTGAAGTAAAACGAACAGCAGAGAAAAGTTCGGCAAGTGCAACATTTTACCGTGTACAGTTTCCATGTGTCGTTTCCACGACTGATTATTAGTGCCGGATGTTTTCTGTTGTCAAACAACACAATTAAAAAAGAAAAGGTGGTTATAAATTTGCTATTTCATACTATTTATACAGCCGTTAACTATTTGAGCTATAAAAATCTCTTACCTGTTGTATTTCTTGCTGTAGACCAGTCCAAGAATAACTCCAGATGTGATGATGAACACAGCTGATCCAGCTGCAGCATAGAAGAAAGTTACTTCTGCAGAACTGTTTGTGGTGGCATTGACTCCGTCTACATTATTTAAAAACTCTGAAAAGTAAAACAGGTTCTAATCAATTATAAGGGAACATTAGGATGCTACGCATTCTTGCCTGTCATGTAATATTAACTTGTATTAAGTGTGTTGTCATAGATTTAAATTCTGAACATTGTTTTATAATTGGTTTGGTCAGATTAACTGCTTCACATTTTTCCTTAAATAAAGCTTTTTGATTTCTTTGACAATTACAGCAGACGTGTCAGTGATAATTATTATCACAATGTTACCACTGCAGAAAATGAACAGAGAAATACATAAAGTGTACATCGTAAAAGTTATTAAATAAATCCACACTTTACCTTCCACAGTTACACTGAGATGAAGCTTTTTTGATCCTCCGGTCCGTGCACACTCACAGGTGTAGTTCCCGCCGTCCTCTGCTGTTAAATGTGTCAGGTGGAGAAACACAGTCTGATTTTCTGTCATCAGTGTGAACCTGGAGTCACATTCATGCTCAAAGTCGTGTCCATGTCGATACATCAGACTACAGTTTTCTCCTCTGCTCCTCTCTGTTTGAATCTTACACACTATCAGCAGGATAACTTGTGTTGTTTCATTGGTGCACAGTGGAGTGACATCTGCTTCTTTACTAATGGTTTTCACACGGCGCTCCTGGACAGCTGCAGTACAAAAAAATAAAAGTCAGTTCAGTATGAAATGAAGCTGCTAAGTTAGCACTGCCTGTATTAAAAGAAATAATAAATAATAAATAAAACATTTATTGGTAAAGGAAATATTCTCCCTCTAAAAAACAACATATATTAACCGTTCAACATCAAAACGCTCTACATAAGCGATCCTTTAGAAATAAAAGTAACTCGTGCACGATACCTTTTCTGCCTGTACAGAACGGCAGCAGAAGCAGAGCAAACCACAGTTTCCATCTACCCATACTGGTCAATACATCTAAACAACTCTTTAACTGCTGCTGGTTGTGTACACTGTACTCTACTGTACTGCAGGGTGGAAGTCAGATACACCCCTTTGCATGTTTCTGCAGCAGTCAAAGAAGGAAGTGCTTTTATGGATTCAAATGTTGCCTCACCCATTTGTGTCAAATTAAAATAACTTTAACCATCTTGTTTGAAGAAATTCAAGAAGTAAAAATGTTGAATGAAGATCAAACACTGATAAATGAAACTATTATATGTGATTGATGCGTTAACAAATAGCACTCACATCACATCTCTTACACAAAGGAAGACGTCTGTCTTAAAATAGCAGTCAAATTAGAAGCTACGCAACGACTTTATAGCAAAGAGAACAAATATGTATGAAGACATTAGTGCAAAACAGGCATAACTTGATGTTTACCAAACATTTCAAAGCAGCAATAACAAAGTGTCACTCTGCCAAGAATAAAGAAAACAGCGGGTTTGAAAAATAAAATCTTCCAGGCCCTGAAAGGCATATGAAAGATTCCCACTCACACCTCATGTCTGTTGTATAAATTGGTTGAGTCGGGGTTAAAAATTAGTTTGCAACAGAAACTTGTCGATTAAATTTGATATAATTTAACACATTTTCAGTTTTCAATTTTACCAAAATACAGCATGACATAAAATGCAAAAAAGTTGTTTTTGATGGAGTTGACAGAGATATTAATTTGTATACACTACCAGTCAACAGTTTGAACACACCTTCTCATTTATTGATTTATTGATTGAATTATACGACTGTCTACACTGTAGATTCATAGTGAAGACATCAGATATATGGAGCGAGATACATGGAATTATGTAGCAAAGAAAAAAATGATAAATAACTCTGTCTGATATTTTTGATTCGTCAAAGTGGCCGCCCTTTGCTTTGTTGACAGCGCTGCAAACTCTTGTCCTTCTTTCAATAAGCTTCATGATGTAGTCACCTGATATGGTTTTCACTTCACAGGTGTGCCTGTCAGGGCTCATTTGTGGAATTTCTTGCCTTCTTAATGGGGTTGGGACCATCAGTGCAGAAGTCAGGTTGGTGCACAGCTCACAGCCCTATTTGACAACTGTAAGAATTCATAATATGGCAAAAATCCTCAGCTAAGTAAAGAGAAGTGACAGTCCATCATTACTTTAAGAACTGAAGGTCAGGCAGTCTGCAGAGTTGCTTTGAATGTGTCTGTGATGGTTGCAGTTAAAGCCACAGAT